ATGCCCCACCTTGCCCTTACATTTGTTTTTTTTTTTTCGGTTTATTCGGGAACGTTCAGGCGTTGCGATAGGCAGCTCCGGTGCGTAGCCGTAAGGCACGGTCGGTGCGTGTCCGCAGCGCACCCCGAATGTACCCACGGACGGGGTGCGCCCTGCAACACCCGTACCTGCTCTTAAACTGGGGTGTGCACTCATCCGCACCCCGCAGCGCACACGGGAACACGTGCAGGCCCGCTTTTGCCCATCTGGTGCACACACACACGCGCGTGTGCTCACACGCGTGGTGAGCACGCAGCAGCAACGCGCGATCCCGCTGGCACAGCCCCGCAACACGCACCCGTCCTCGCCCTGCAACGCAACACGCGCACTGGAAAACACGCTCGCGGGCCGTGCGTTCACGCTGGTGCACGCGCAGCGCCGCGTGTCGCGCCAGCGCGCACGTTCCTGGGGTTCCTCTTTTCGGAAGGATCCCATCGAGAGCAGCGCCCGATCCGGCGTGGGGAGGGCTTCAGGCTGCTGGAGCGGGGTGGCCGGTCCCCACCGGCAGCTGCGTGGGCTGAGCCTGGGGAATACAAAGCAGGACGTGGTGGAGCAGCCTGCAGAGCCATTTTGTGACCGGTGCTTCTCCTCACACCGCCTGTCCCCAGGGAAGGCTGTAAGCCTGCAGGAACCAGACTGTTCAGGACGGTGCCTGGCTGCCTTGGCCAGGAGACAGCACGTGATTAACGACGAGCATCTCTCAGCGAGCCCAGCAACAAGAGCCGCAAAGCCTTTGTTACACCCCTTCCACTCGTGCCCAGCTTTGGGACGTCACATCAGGGTCAGTCAGATACAACTAAAATCCTGCGGCACCCCCTTGACCACGCACGGCATGAAGGCCAGCAGTGGCTGCCCTAGGACAGATGGTTTCAGGACAAGCCCTGCAGCCTCTGTGCTGGGACAACCTCCCTTGCCATCGGACCTGGGAGCAGTTGGGCCACCGCTGGGCCCTTTGCGGGACGTGGGTGGCCCAGCAGCCTGGGGAAGCTGGAGCGGGGCTTGGGGAACAGGGACCCCAGATGCAGGCATCCACAAGCTCTTTCCAAAAGCACTTTTCGGGGAGCACTTCATCTCCGTTGGAAAGCTCAGGGTGGACAGAGGGACCTAGAGAGACAGGGGTCTGCCCCCAGCCCCATCCTTGCCACCTCCCACGGCTCCTGCCCTGCCCTGGGGCACCCCAGAGCGCTCACTCCAAAACCCTGCCACCATCCATCGGAGGCTGAGCTGGGCTGAGCCACGTGGTCCTGGCCCTCCTGCAATGAGTGTGACAGGGCGAGGGAGACTTGGGTCTCCCTGCAGCCGCAGCCTCACCACCTTGCCTTGCTGCGCAGCAGTGCCAGGCTCTATGCTAGCTGGAGGCTGAGCCCTGCCGTGCATGGGGGATAGGCCCCTGCCATCCAGCCCTCAGCATGGAGCACCTCTGCAGCAGCAAACAGCACCTTCACGAGCACTGGGAATCACACTGTGTTCACCCCCCCGTCTTGGGATATGCTTGCCTGGGCATCACAAGCCCCTGTTCCCTTGCAGGGGTAAGGCTGGGTATGATTTCCAGTGCACAGCACGTGCCCAGGACACGGCGCCACTGCAGCAGCGGAGCAGCACGTGTGTGCGGGAGCACGGCGACAGCAAGCTGGCAGTCGTGCAAGGGGCCCCGTGCTGGGCCTTGGGCCTCGGGACACGGCGATGGAGGAGACGCAGCCCTTGCAGCTGCAAAGGATGGTGGCAGCGAGCGCAGGCGCCTGCTTTTGTCACACTTTCCTTTGTCCCAGGCACGTGGCACCGAGCGCAGGGAGCCGCAGCCGTCCGGAAAGCAGGGACAGGGATGGGTGAGCTGGAGGGGAGGCAGAGCCCTGGCTCGGCTGCCGGGAGGGTTTTCCGGCTGCGGTGGCGAGGGGACACGTTGTGTGACTGTACTTCTGCCCTGCTTCCCCAGCACAGGCGGGTGAACAGCCGGTTACAGCCTGCGGCAGCTCCTGCTTCCTTATCGTGCTGGGCAGGTGGTGGCGGGGCTGATGCCGGTTGGAACTGCTGAGCCGTGGGACAGCGCAGGGTCCCCGGTGTCTCACACAGCCCTGCCACAAGCAGCCACCCAGCGGGGCCAGCCTCCTGCCACCTCCCCAGGGCTAAACACCTCTGTGCTTCCCGACAAGGCAGCCAGGTGCCCAATGCCCACAAGATCCCGTCCGACCTTGCAGCCCCTTTCCCTGGGCTGGGCTGCCATAAGAGCTTTCCCCTGGCATGGGGTTTCACAGGCACCAGCAAGCCCCGTGCCCAAGGAAAGTCTCTGTGTTGCCCAAAGCTTTTTAGGGAGAAGCGGGACAGAGCACTGGTGCCAGCGGCATTTTGTGGTGACCCCGGCGGGCGCAGACGGCTGGCCAGAGCGGCAAGGGCCCCAAGCCGGGCTGGGAGCGAAAGCATCTGTTTTGAAGCACCGTGGGGTTTCCTAAATAGGTCACTGCTTTTTTATAGTCTCTGGGATCTAGAAAAACCAGTTGTTCCAGACAACCCATGGACCCGCCAGCATCCTCGCAGCGGTGGCTCCCCGGGCGCTCACCGCCGTCCCCCCAGGTCCTCGCAGGGAAGGGGGGGACCTGCCCCACCAACAGTGCTCGGTGTGAGCTTGGAGAGCGGTTGGGGAGCCCGCAGCACCCCGAGCCATACCCTGGGGTCCTGCTCTCTGCTGAAGGTGACCTGCCCTTGGCCATGCCGGACCTGGGGTGTGCAGGGGGGGGCCTTCCCCCGACCCTGCTCCTGGCCTGGGGTGGCTGCTGGCTCCAGGCTTTGCCCTGGGACTGTTTGCAGCCAGAGCCGGCGTTTTCCCTTCCAAGGGGAGCCAGGTGTGGGGTGTAGAGGGGTGTGCAGTGCCGTACACCCCTTACACAGGCTGTACACCCGCATGCGCCTGCTGCGGCCTGGCCTGCTTGGGATACGCTCTCCCTCTAGCGGCACCAAGCTCCTGGCAAAGCCTCCGCATCCCCGGGGCGGCCGAAGCCACGGCCAGGGCATGCCCGAGGGTCTGGAGGGAGCCGGGGGACGAGTTCCAGCCCGGCCTCCCCCTCGCAACCAGGGGTGCACATGGCAGGGTGTGCAGGGAGGGTGCCCGGCGGGCTTTGCAGGAGTGTTCCCACCACCAGCCCCACTTTTTTGGCAGCCCCGCAGCGGGCAGGTGGCTCTGCTCCTCCCTTTCCCCGACCCCACGTTTGCCGGGATGTGGCAGTACAGTCAGCCCCGGGAGCCAGAGTCAGCCTCAGGGGTGCAACCCCACAGCTCTGCTTCCCAGTCATCCCCCCAGCTTGGCCAACCCCATCCCCATCCCCGTGCCCCCCACAGCGCCCAGGCTCGGTTGCCGCGCGTGGCAGCAGCCGGCGAGGGCAAAAGCCCCGGCGAGCCCCAGCTTCCCCCCGCTATGGCAGAGCGCTGCCTGCAGAAGGGGTCGCCCAGGACCCCTCTGGGCCCCCTCAGGCTGGGCTGGTTGGGTGCCATCCCTGCAGCACGGCCCCGCCACGGTCCCCCGGGCCGGGTGCCAGGCCGTGCCGCCGCGGGCAGCGCTGACGGGGCATTTTGTTTTGTGCCGGCCGCCCGGCGGGGAGACAAAAGGGGCAGTCAGACGCGGGCGGTGCATTGTGCCGGCAGCCATGCGCTGAGGCAGCAGCCTGCGCCGCTGCGCTCGCCTCGTGACCCCCAATGGCCTGGGCCTGTGCCCGCCATGGCACCCTGGGGCCTGCAGCGCCCACCCTGCCCAGGGCCCTTGAGGGAGCCATGCTGCTGGGAAGGGGGAGCGGGAACTGGTTGTCATGGTTACTGTGAGGCCTGAGGCCTAGGGGTGCCTCGTTGCCAAGGTTACCGCAGGCCTGAGGCCTCCCAGGCCCGTGGCGGCTCCCCCCAGGGGGAACAGGGCCGGAGCGATGGCACCGCTGCATGGAGCTGAGGGGGGCGAGCACCGGGGCTCAGTGCGGCCATGGGGCTGTGGTTGCCGGGCCGGTGAATGGGAAGCCCCACACTGGCTCCCAGTGTGCTGGGAGGAGCAGCCTCACGGTCCCCTCTTGCCCACCATGAGGCCACGGTGGGAGGAGGGTGTCCGCACCGGCATGGAGATGGGGACCCGCCGTTGGCCGGCAGAGCAGGGCAATGGTGGTGCTCGGTAGGCACCCAGCTGAGCCTACCACCCGCGGGGTCTCACCGGGAGGGTGCCGTGCCATCCCCACTGTGCCAACCGGTGCCAGGGCCGGGCCAGCCCCCACGCTTGCCCCATGACGGCGCGGTGCATTGCCCCTGGAAAATGCCAGAGCAGTCAAAACGTTGAGTCATTTGTGCCCAAGATTATCTGTGCAAACAGCCGCCCCGATTATTTTTTTTTTTATTATCAAAATTTTTTTTTTTTTTCTTTTTCCCTAAGAATGTGGCTCAGACCATGGGGATGAGCAGCTGAAATCTCCGGGGATCAGTGGGACAATGCCAGAGCAAGCATTGTGCTGACGGCTCTGCAAACACTGGCACCGGCTCCCAGCCAGCAGCACCCTATAAAAGCCGAGCCGCTGAAGTAGGCAAACATTACATGGGCGAAGCAGCAGTAACCGCCTGAGCTAGGTGAGTCCTGGGACCGATTCGCACCTCTCCCACCTCGCCCCCTGCTCGCCCCTGCCGCTGCCGGCTTGCCGGGCAGACACCCTTCCTCCTGCCTGGTGGCAAAAGACACCCAGAGGGACAGTCGCCATTTCCCGTGGCAAAAGACAGGCTCACATGTCCCTGCTGGCAGCCAGGGTGGCTGAGAGCCCCTCTACCGCAGGGCACCCCGCTCCTGGCACCCACCTGGACCTGGTCACCGGCACGGCACACCGGTTGGCATCTCCCACCATTAGCCGGGGCCATCCGTGGGAGCCCACCGCGCCTCCCAAGAGAGGCATAGCTGGGGTGCCGGGGCAGGGACAGAGGCGCAGGCGGATCTCTTGGACACCGCCATGTACCGGGCAGCCCTTGCCCCCCACCGCAGCTCCCTGCTCCAGTTCGGGGATGTTTTTCCTAGCAATGGCCTGGCCTCGGGGAAGGAGAAGGGGGAGCTGGGCACTGTGCCCTGGCAGGTGTGCCGGCTCCGTGCCATGGCTGGGAGGAGGAAAGGGGCACCGCACGGTGAGAAGGGAGCATCCTGCTTTGGATGTGTCCCGGAGCCCCCTGCCTTGCCTCCACACTGTCCTGCGGCTAGCAAGAGGGTCTCGCTACGACTGGCATGGCTTGTCCCCAGCAGCGGGGCAGCTGCCTTCGAACAGGCGCCGTGGGCAGCGGGCACAGAGCCGGCCCCCAGCCCCATGAGCAGGCAGCAGGGATGCACAGGGGCACGCTGCGGTACAAATGGCTTTTCCTTCCTTCTCCAGACACCGTTCCAGCAGCAAAGATGGCTCAGACAAACCCTCTGCCTGTCCCCATGGGCCCTTGGAAGGTATGTCCTTGCACCCCCTGTACCTCGCCTTTCCCAGTGTGCAGGTGGGACACGGGGAGAGGGACAAAGCCAGTCTTCGGGGCCAGGAAAGCTGCACAGCGGGCAGTGAGGCAGGGGGGAGCACAGGAAGCAAGGTACCCCTGTTCTCTGCCCACGGGAACTTGCCTCCCACCTGCTCACGCCCCTCCCGGGTGTTTTTCGTAAGCCTCTTTGCAGCACCCTGGCCCAGCCGTGCCCTGCTCTTACTGGTTGTCCTGTGCCATGCAGTTAGAGCAGTCCCCAAAAGCCACACGCTGTTATTCGCCCTCCCCTGTCAGTGCAGGCAGGGTAGGCAGGGGCCAGTCAGGCACGAGGGCTGCAAAGGGGGCAGTGGGCACAGCGGAGCAAGGTGGGGAGCAGCCCCAAGGGGTCTGGCAATAGCTATGGGGACACGGTTCGAGGAAAGAGCTGAGAGGGAGAGGAGAAGCATGTGCGCAAGCAGGGTGCACCCCGCCGAAGCCTGGAGCTGTCGTGGGAGAGGAGAGCATCAGCCACAGCCCACCGGGGAGTTCCCCCTCGCCCTTTCCCCCGTTAATCCTCTTTGCCCTAGAGCTTTCGGAGCAGAGGCCGGGAGAACCGCCAGCCACAGCCCTGCCACCCGCCTGTCCCAGAACGGCTCCGCTCCTCTCTCCAGACGGCACCACTGCCCCGGGAACTGATCTCCGCAGGGGTGAGCAGGAGAGTGGAGCGGGGGCCAGCGTGTGGCTCCCCCGACACCAAGGCAGGGCGCCGCGGGGCCAGCAGTGCAGGGATGCGTGGAGGCATGTGGGGCTGCGTCCCAGCCCAGAGGGGTGCCCGGTGCAGCCTCCGCCGGCTCTTCCCTGGACGGAGCGCGACCCTCTGTCTCGAAGAGGCGCTGAATCGCCTGGGACCGCTGCCGTGCGGTTCCCAACTTGGCAGCTCGCTCTCCGTTCCAGATCACTGTGTACGACCAAGAAAACTTCCAGGGCAAGAGGATGGAGTTCACTTCAGCCTGTCCAAACATCATGGAGTGCGGCTTTGACAACATCCGCTCCCTGAAGGTGGAGTGCGGCGCGTGAGTACCTGGCTGCCAGCGGTGGGGATGCTTTCCCAGGCGGGCTGGCGGGACTAGGGGTGCCTGAGCATGGAGCAGGGCTGGCTGTCCTTACTTTGCTCAGCTGGGGGAAGCCAGGCACGGGGGATGCCACCCTCCGAGGGTAGAGCAGCCAGCGCTGGGCAGCACCGATACAGACAGAGGGCCAGAGGACGGTGGCAGTGGCTTTGGCATTATCCAAAACTGCCTCCCGCAGTCTGGGAGCAGCCAGGTTTGGAGCTCCCTGGTGCCCAGCAGGGATGCTGCCCAAGGATGCAGCGATCAGTGCTCAGCAAGTGGTTCTTGAGCTCAGCCTGGTCCCCATCCTGCCTGTGTAACCCTGTGAAGTATCGTGCCTAAGAACCACTGTTTCATGCCCCAGGGCCCAGTCCTGCTCTGCCCCACGCTTTCCCCACACTGTGCAGCTCCCCAGGGCCAGAGCAGAGCCTTCCCGCAGTCTGCGCTGGGCTGCCCCAGTCGCTGATAGGGGTAGGGAGCAGAGCCGGGCTTCTCTCTGCGCATGGGAATCTTCCCTGGCACAGGCAAGACATCGCCCGAGCTGCTCCGAGACGCTGTGTGTAAGGAGCGGTCCCCAGGGCAAGCATCCCGCTGGGGCTGGGGAAGCAGACAAGATAGATTTGCGCTGCTATATTTAGGATTTGTAATGCTAATGGGATTACAGCGGCATGCGTGCTCACACCGTAATCAGCTCACTGCTCCAGTTGACGTGTTCCTAATCAGGCTGTTCACCTTGCACGGGGGGAGGCCGACTGCGAGACATGGGACCGAGTCTCAGTTTTGGTCGGTGGCAAGAGGCCCTCGACCCCCCCAGCTCAGTGTGTCCCTCAGCACCCCGCGTACCCAAAAAGCAGGGGGTCTGTGGGCTGCACAGCCTGTGCCATCTTCCTTCCAGCCTCCACCCCAGCCTCTGCCTCCCGGCTGCGGCTGTCCCGTCCCCAGTCTCTGTAAGGGGACGTGCCCAGGAGAGGTCTCCAACCTGGGGACAGGCAGGCTCTTGTGTGGGCAGCACCAGGGCTTACAAAATGTGTCCTGCAGGGCGGAGGCACCCCTCTCACCTCTCCTTGTTTGTTTTCAGCAAAGAGGGGGACCCAGAAAGGGGAAAGGCAACAGCTCCCTGCCTGGCCCAGAGCCAGATGAGTTCTGCCTGGTTTGGGCATTAGGAATTGAGGTCTTTCCAGCTGTACCAGGTTGTAATTGGGAAACAAGTAAGAAATGAGGCCTTTGGGAGAGAAGGGCAGCCAGCGGCATCCCATGGCATGCTAATGCGATGCCGGTCTGCGTAAATAACCACAGAGCAGTTAGGGGAAAGCGAGCCACCCTCGCAGGCTGGGCCCCTCGAGGGAGAGGGAGGGACCCCATCACCCGCCTCAGCCAGGGGATGCTGGCGCTGCCACGCAGGCAGCGTCCCAGGCACCAGACACGGTTACACATCCAGCACCTCTTCCTTTCCTCCCGGACTTGTGGGCAGAGGCCAGACCCCAACCTCTTCCTTGCACCTATATCTATGCCCTGGTGCCAGCCCCGAGCAGGAGGCCCAGAGCTGCCACAGGAAGCCCTGGCAGCCCTTGCTCTGTTTTTGCAGCTGGGTCGGTTATGAGCACACCGGCTTCTGCGGACAGCAGTTCATCCTGGAGAGGGGAGAGTACCCACGCTGGGACGCCTGGAGTGGCAGCAACGCCTATCACATCGAGCGCCTGATGTCCTTCCGCCCTGTCTGCTCCGCTGTGAGTGTCCTGGCTCCTACGGAGCTCTCGCGTCTCTGATGCCATTAAAATGTCCAGGGCAGTAGCGCCAGGGCAAGGGAGCGAGCCTGAGACAGCAGCTGTGACATAGCTGTCACTGACACCTCCCAGGTCAACCCCTGCCCCATCCTGGCCCAGCACCACCCTGCTGAGCACCTCCACACATCTGGGTTATGGGAAAACCAGCACCCCACCCCCAAAAAAGCCAGGCCAGGGTCTGAACACCTCTGTCTCCAGAAAACCCTGTGAGCAATGCCATAGGGAGGAACAGGCATTGCCCCACTGTTCCCATCCACGCTGCAGAGGGAGCACTGCCTCCCCCTCACCCCCTGCTCTTCCCCCCCAGAATCACAAGGAATCCAAGATCACCATCTTCGAGAAAGACAACTTCATCGGCCGCCAGTGGGAGATAGGCGACGACTACCCCTCGCTGCAGGCCATGGGCTGGGCCAACAACGAAGTGGGCTCCATGAAGATCCAGTGTGGCGCGTAAGTGATGGGCAAAGGACCACAGGGCAGGGACAAACCGCTGCCGTCGCTGTGCTACCACAGCTGGAGGGGGGACACCCCATAACCCCCGGCTTACCTCTTGTCCCCCTTACGGCCGCCTGACGACTCCTTTTCTTCCAGCTGGGTTTGCTACCAGTATCCCGGGTACCGTGGCTACCAGTACGTCCTGGAGTCTGACCACCACGGAGGAGACTACAAGCACTGGAGAGAGTGGGGTTCGCACGCCCAGACCTCCCAGATCCAATCCATCAGGCGTGTCCAGCAGTAACTCCGCACTTTCCAGTACATCGTTGCAAGGTTTCTAAAGCTCACCGGCTCCCTTTTGGTGCTAATACTCCCCTCCTGAAATAACCACCCCTTCTTGTACTGCAACTGCTTATGGAACAACACTCCCAAACGGTACCAACTGCCACAATTGCCAATAAATGTGACTGAAAGAAAAAGATAAACCAGCTTGGTGTTTGCTGTTGAGTGTTTGGGATTAAAGTCACACATCCCTGTGCCAGTAGCAGGGACCAGACTCTTCCCTGCTTATTTTAAGCAGGGCTGAAGCCCGGTGGGGTTCACACCAAGGCAAGTTCATCCCCCAACTGTCTCGTACACACAAACACAGCAGCCAAAACCCCAGCTCTGCGCCACGTGGCTTCCTTTCCTCCCTGCCCTCCCCTGTCGAGGTAAAGGACACTCCCAGCCCCCTGCCCCACCGAGCACCCACGTACACAGAGCCACTGGTGCCGCGCTGCTCGTGGGTTTTGGGGCCAGTGCTGTCAGCCTTGAGGGAACGAAAGTCGAGTCATGAAAGTCGTCAGCCACGCAGCGTCCCTGGGGCTAGGGGATGCTCCCTGAGAGCGCAGAAAAGAAACTCACGCTGACACCCACAAACTTTAAAATTTTTATTCAACAATTTACATCACTTATTGTCTGTCTTAACGTATTCGATCTACACAAATTTCTTTTTTTTCCTGATAAAATAATAAAATTTGGATAAATTTTGAAGACCTGTTGGTGCAGAATAAACAAAATTTCAGGTAACTTTTTTTTTTTTTTTTTTTTTAAACTTTTAGTGTGAAGTATGACATCATTGGTAAAGATACATCATGCCATTACAGCTCATGGACATTACCTATCCTTACAGTCCGTGACATCACCCATACCAGCGCAAGGGGCTGCGCCAGACACAGCTACAGCAGGTATTACACTAACTCTTCTAGCCACCCTCTCACGACCGGGAAAACGCCTACGTTTCCAGCTGGGCACACAGAGTGCATTAACCTAATTGGAAATACCGGGGAGGGGAGAAGAAAACAAAGACTACCTTTACCGATTCGTGTGGTCGCACACTACAACATCGACAACAAAGAGGGGCTGCCCCTCTCCGCAGGTCAGAGGTAATTCAGCTCCTGAGCAGGTAGAGCACAACCCCTCGCGGCGATTTTAATACACACCAGGAAACCGAACGAAATGAGAACTTATCGATGGGGGGGGGGGGGGGGGCGGGCGGTAG